ATTTAAAATTACAAGACAACTTTATATTTTCGTATAATACCGATTCAGAAGGCTATGAATGAATGCTGAAACTCTTCTTTAGTTACAAAGGACTGGGTTTGCGGATGTAATCACCTACACCTGCTCTTTTTCCGTATCTTGCTACCTCAGGCGTGACGTGGTTGAATTTTGGTTTTTTTTACCCTCACCTTAACATATACCAACAAACAAAAAAGTTTAACATTTAATACTTTGTCCACAAAATAGAAACATTGTTGGCATCAAGCAAATAAAAATTGTGAAAGTATTCACGGATTCGAAACAATTAATTCCGCGACTCGATTGTGCTTTTATTTCATAATTCACAGTATATTAATACGAATATTTAAGTTTCGGAGTTTTCGCGGTTTCCCGACTTCTACCATTACCTAGCGCATTTATCATCATATCCCACATTTCCAGACTTGCAGTACATTTTGCCCTATGAGCCAAAACAAGCTCTTATAGAATTATTATTCCTATTTTTGGTACATATCGATCTAGATCTGCTAACTCTTTCCCACGGCATTAGAGTTTACATCTTCAGAGACACGTAATTAGATCAGTACGAATAAGGATCTTCTGTGCTAATCGCCTCTATCTTGATTAGCTTCTTCCAACATTTTCAGTGTGTGGGAAACGTGGCCATCTTCTCTGTTCACATTTAAGTACGTAGCCTCGTCGTAACAGCATGTAATAAAAGTTGATTTCTCCGTGAGGAAGAATACAAGCCTCTTATGAAATTATATCATATCGCTCAAAATGGCACGGGCGAACCAATTATTCTGGAACCACTTCTCAGGAGAAGCAGAGGAGATTGGATTTTGGCTCGACAGGCAGTGAACCTAACCAAAATTAGGTGGGCAGCGAAGACTTTCCATACGTATAAATCCCTCCCTTCCACTATGTACGTTGCTAAGAGCAAGGTTTGCTCTGGGATACATAACTATGGGATGGAGGGACGTAAACGTCGTATTCATCATTCGGTTTTGCCTCAAGCGGATTATTTCTGCCAAACAGAAATACATTCTGTGAAGAAAACTTTCTTCGATCAGATATAACGGACAAATGGCACGACTTCAAATTAAAATTATAACACTTCCCATAAGCAATTATCCGGAGTCAAAACGCCTAAAGAAATTGTCAACGAAAATATTGAGAGGAACTCCAGAAATGGATAAAAAGTCTAGCATAAAAAACTGAGAAAATTAGAAAGGATAGCGAGGAGAAAAGTAATTAAAAAATTATTGACTGAAAATTCTAATAAGATTTCAGAAAACAAAATAAATCTCGTATTTGTTTAGAAATTGCTTTGGTTGCTGTGGCAACAGGATTTATACGACTTTTAGTAGGAATGGTATGTTACCAAACAGGCAAATATAATGCGAAATAAACACCCGTAATAACTCGCAGAAATAAAGTAATGGGAATGACATAAAAGCGAAAAACGTTTTGACGATCTTGCAGGCATAAAATGCTGATTTTTACGTACCTACGCGTAAATCTAAGCGAGGGTTAATCGACAATAGTAAATGCAGTTGAGTGATTTGATTTCAAGTACGACGAAAACAGGATACTTCAATCTTGCAGAAGTAAAACTCGACATTTTCAAATATCTTAGACAAGTATAACGTGAACGAAACACTTACATTTCGGAAGTTATCAGAATTTCATCCACAAGTAGTTTTTCATATTTTAATTTTGGAAGTCCAGACCACAGCACTACTATACTTTATAAGCTTATATTGAATACTGCATAAAGGAAAATGTACACACAATAAAATTGTTGAAAAAACATTATTTAGTCCCAAGCAAGAGAAGGAAAAGAATGACATTCGGGTTTTAGTTTTAATTTTGCCCATCCGGATGACTGTGAAAATTGCCATTTCTAAAGGTTCTTTATGTCGAATTTTTCAATTTTTATCTGAAACAGAGTCACGGAAAATTGGAAACCACCACCAAGTAACAAAATGGAAATTTTAGTTTCATGATTGACTTTGATCAGTAAAGAATTTCGGTATACAGCATGGTATTCTCAAATCTCAGAATAGTAGCCTCTTTAAAGCCACATTTGCCTATAACTGGAGTTCTTATAGTTATGTGTGCGTTTATTTAACTTTTATTTTGTCGTAAATAAAAGCCGCACAACATTTGTGCACGGGGGGCACATATTATCCGCACAAAACTTAGGTTTATTTCCATATGACTTCACCGATTTAAATGTAACAATTTAACGCACGTTTGTAAGAAGCATATGCCACATGCTACGGTAAAAATATTTGAAAATAAACTGGATGTAATTAGTAAATGAGGCAAGTAATTTTAGGCAAATTTTTAGACTGATTTTATGAGCTACGTACGTTGTGTATGTCTCCAGTGAAACTATGATGCAGACATAGAGGTGTAATTAAGATAGGAAAAAAAATATCATTTGTCTAATATTTACGACATGTATATAGGCTGGGTTCATATTTTAATGATGCGCCGTCTTCATATAATTGAGATTCTAATGGTTAGGCACCGAAACACGGAAACACTGTATTATTACCGCGACATCAGAAAAAAATCGCTAGTAAAATAGTGAAACACAGCGTGTCAGAAAAATAGTGAAATACAGAAATTGAGAAAATGCGGCACTTACCATACACCCTCACTTCTCAGGTATATGATCACTTTATATGGAATTACCAGATACCAATGACATAATGTCATATAGTATCGTAACTCTCTATTTTATTGGGGATTGTTTTTTAAATCACTTTGAGTAATGATGTTGTGTAAAACATCATGTTAACTAATACCATAAATGCACATACGTGTTATCCCAGATAAGCGAGTAAGAAAAAGTTTCTAAAGTGGACACATAAATTAAACTTACCAATTAAGAATGGGATAAGAAAAAATTTATTCATTACCACTTCGTGCACTTGAAAATCCCTTCTGTGCGACACTGCACCTATCTATCAGTGCTGGACCGAGCTAATCAATGAACTAGAGTACATCATTGCAGATATTTTTGGATTGCGGTTATTTGAACACGTTTGAGCAGTAATGAATTTCTGACGCGTATTTCCTACAATCTGAATCGCTTTTTAATGTCATCCTTTGTAATGTGCTTTAAAATAAAACGCTAGTCGTTTTCGGGGTTTTTACGAAACACCTATATCACAGTTTTTACCTTACTTTTATTCTGCTTTAGCGAAGAAGCAAGAGGGTAGTTTTGCAATTTTAGTGATTCAGTTAGGTGTAAATTTCCCTATGGGGTATGTTTGTATTCAAATTTTAGTGTAATCAATCTGCATAGTATACTGTAATTATAACCAATCTCTTAAGTTGGGGCGGTGTAGATTGACATGCGTACGGATTTCAGGACAAAACGTAAGAACTAAAAAATCCGACATCTGCATTTTGTTTAAGCAATGACGTAACGTAATTTTGGTTTGAATTTTAAACAGGGAAATGATAAAGTTTGAATAATTACAATGAAATAATAATTTAAACGTCGAAACAATGTCGACGACCTTCAAAATTTTAAACGAAACGAGCCCTCGAATGAAGCATTAATCCATAAAGGGACTTTAACTCTTTACGCACCCTCGCTTGATTATAGAAATTTAATCGATTGATTATTCGGAAATGCTACGGAATTAAAATATTCCACCCAGTTTCACTCAGATGTATATCCTCATCCGCATAAGGATGTAGCTAGAAACTGTATGTAGTCTGGGCCCAGTATGAACTTATTCTTACTTTTACACATAAACTGAATCATATTTATGCCTAAATGTGTTGAAATAATAACGCACCTGAAACGATTTTACGGAGAAAAAGGGAAACTGATTTGGACATCGAGATTTCGTAGCTCTGGACGCCTGATACCGAATGATCCTCCAGATAGTTTTTGGGCTGTAACTTTTTGGCCCGATAGTGTACAATAGCGCCCTTTTTTATATCCTTAAGAATATGATCGGACGTTTCTAAACAAAGTTATCGTCGACACGAACAGACAGACGGGCAGATGTTCCTTCATATTTCAAATGTGCTAAAATTACTATATGCATACACTCTATACAGGACGAGTCCCTAACTTGGAGTAAATCAAATATTTGTTTTTTGGAAACCTGCTGGGAACGTCGATTAGTATTTTTAACCGTGCTCTTTTGGATGTAATAAAATTGTTTACAGGGGTCCCTGACATCATCGACTATTTTTTTCAATGGTACCTAACTCTTATTTTTTATGACTATAAATGCTACAAAATATACGTAATTTGTTCCTGTTCTACTATTTACATTAAACGTTTATTTATAAAAAAAAATATCCGTTAAACTTGGGCACTGAAATTAACTATCCAATTTATTGCAGTATTAAATGTAATGAATTTCTGTGGGGTACGCATTTTGGGGGCCATAACAATTGGCAATTACGAGTGCTTGTGCGTATCTGGTACTTTTCCTTTAGAAATAATTAGTTTATGAATATCAACTACTATATAAATCATAAAATGTTTAAAAATTTCTCTCTTTCCAATATTAATAATAATTCTCATAGCTTTCTTATGAATCATAAAGACTTTTCCCTACTCCCGTAGGTAATTCTGGACTGTAGATTCGATCCATGGTCCAAGGGAAACATTTTTTTGTTACAGACCAAAATCCTAAAACGTTTTCTCATGTTAGCACGAAACTCCTTAAGCCTCTACAAGCACTGCAAGCGTATAGCCTATCTGAGATCGTTTGACTTATATTGACGGGACATTAATTCATTAAGAGATACTTGAATTTATTGAACTAAGTCCAAGTGTTGTTAGGAAAATGAGGTTTTGGTTTTTATTAGGTGATCGGCCCACTGTGTGGACGAGGAAAGAGATTACTATAATAAATTTGTGAATTGGTATAAGTACTGTTTCGGCAGTTACAGTCACGGGAATAAATTTTGTGAAGTATGAAAATACGATTTAAATAAGTACGAATGCGACTTACCTTAGGCCAAATTCGATTGTAAACCAAACAACAACAACGATTTCCATGTAAAACAATATGTTTCCTGCAGTCACCTCGTAAGTTTCTATTGTAGAAAAAACGCTTAAGCTGAGGCACATAAATACCATGCAAAACCTGAAAGAAGAAACAATTTCGTTGAAAACAATCGTGTCATTCTACATTCTACTGTAAATTTTTAAAAGTCAATTCGCGCTTTACAGTTCAAGATAATTGCATTCTCGCGAACGCGGCCCTAAATGGGATTCACATCTACGTTACATAAATATATCAACGTTATGCCACCGTTTGTATTGACTGTATAAATTATAGTTACTTCTATTGATCGTCAAGCAAATATGCGCTGGGTTATAATTAAACGATTATACATATAAATAAAGCTCTACGACTAAGTTTGAAATTCCATATTTTTAAATTTTTTTATTAATCTCAGGAGACCGGAATAGGGATTTCATCTTGCATACCTTTGATGATATTTGTACGGATACGGAGGAATTTACATACATGTACTCATTATATGTATCTTCCTCAAGGGCTATTGATTATATCAACTTCCGGATTATCTTCGATGGATGTCCGGGATTAGTGTAAAGTGTAATTGAACTGTAGTAATTTAACTTTCATCATTTCCGTGTTTGTGGTAAATGATGATTGTTTTCAAATTGTTTACGGAAGTCGCACGTAAATTGGAAATCCAAAAATGTATGCAGTGTATCTGGTGTAACTGTCGCGATCCTGACTACTATGTAGTGGGTTGTGCAGCGCGAATGGTTTCAATTGCAAAGTTATATATTAGTTTTTAACGTGCAGTTGGACGTTTCAATGCAGCATCATAAATTATTAAGACAATTTCAAGCCTCTGCTCGAAGGATTTTCTTGCCTACAATTTTTCAGAACCTTATACCTACCTTCTTTATTGGGTTGTAGTTTTATAACTAAGTTAGGTAGCACAACGTAAAGTACGACATGGATGGATGAATGTACTATTTTACCCCATAAACTGTGCAGTCTTTCTCTCAATTTTATTCCCATATTTTATTGGACACAAGGTATGAGGCGTTGTTTGGACCAAAATGAAAGTTTCCACATGATGTATATTATTCCGCATTATACACATCATTTTCTGTTATATAAAAAAATTTGTAGCTTGGGGAAACGCGCCCTTCAGCCATCGGCTATTTATCAGTTTCGTTTATTCGCGTTATGTTCAAACTGTTTACATAGTTTGAATACTATCAAAAGATTTTAAATGTGAACAGTGTGGTTAAGTAACTAAGGGGATTTGTGATAATTAAACCCGTTCAACCGGGTTAAGTACATACTATTAATTGTGGTAATAATTAACCACAGTAATCTCCACCAACCCTATTACACGGGATGAATGATCGTAGCGCCTATAACTATAATTTGCAAGGAAAATGTAAAACAATGCTACTTCATCCAAGGTTTTATCTTAAAAAAAATACAAACTGAAAAATTGTTAGGCACTTTTTTACCGCATGTACTATGCGATCAAAAATGAGTTGCTGTCGAGTCACCTTTGGAATTTTTGTTTACATTGGAAATCGTACTTAACTTGAACTTCCAAAGGCGACTCGACAGCAACTCATTTTTGATCGCCCGTTATATCTTGGTACTGATTCGTTTGACTATTTTAAAATTAATCGACCATAGTACAAAATTGCTACCACCATGCGATTATTTGAATGTGCAAGTCTGTAGCGCCCACATTTTGTATATCACGAACAACATTTTTATATAATACCATTGAATAAAAACTTTTATTCAATGATAATACGGAATAATATATACAGTGCATTTGAAATAAGCGAATCACCTCAATATCTCTTTTTCGGCGATATATGAAAAATTTGTTAAATAAAATTTTCGATAAATGGCGTTGTGAGTCTATGTGATCGCATTTTCAAACTTTCGGCTTCTCTTCCGGTTTAACCGAAAATCGATGCAACTTTTGTTTTTCAAATGCACTGCCTGTCTTTTTACGATATTTGGAAAGAGCAACCAATTTGCTGTACGACAAGATATGCATATGGTTTATAACAAAAAATAGAGTAATTCGTTATTCAATGTTTAGAAAATTTATGAAATCTAGCATGCCGTGTGCCATATGACACGGCGCCTTTTGCATTACATGAGAAGATCGTATCGTGCAAAAGTAAATTTTAAAAACGAAACATTGAACAAGTTATTGTAGGTCTTTTCTGTGTGATATGGCACAGGACATGTTAGAATTCATAAATTTTCTATAAATATTGAATCACGAATTTCTCTGTAATATATCAACAATATGCATATTTTACGTTGTTGTACAGCAAATTGATTGCTCTTTTCAAATATCGTAAAAAACATAGGCATTGCATTTGACAAAAGTTGCATCGATTTCCAATACCGGTCGTTTCAATATGCGAGATCGTAATGTCTCAAATTTGTCGTATCTCGCTAAATAAAAGAAATATTGAGGTGACCCTCTTATCTCAAGCGTATTGTATTTATATTAGGTCAAAGTAATTAATGCGGCAATTATTCATAATGGCCGGTCTGTGATAAATTTGGGGTGTTTTTTTAAAACTTAGGGGAAGGGAAACTACTGGCACTTATGAAAAAAAGCATATACGAGCTTACGCACCATAGGGATTTCAATGCTAATTTCTTTATATGGAAATATTTTCTCCCCTCATTAATTTAGAGCAAAGCTGTAAATAGGTCTCTTGAAGCTTGTATCTTGTGCCATGAAATTATTGAAACAAAAATTGGATATATAATAGTAATTATACCTTACAATTTCCTTAATTTCTCCGATTTCGCACAACAAAAACTACAAATGGGCACATGACTAGACGCAGAATTTTACAATCTACATAACATTTATTTACTGATGGACTATCTACAACTTTGGCGTAGAAACAAGCAAAGCGACTTTTTAGATGATAAGTACCTAGATACTAAGTGAGACTAGCTTGGTTTAATCATTGTATGTCCAGAATTTCCAATAATATGGCATATATTTATCAAACAAAAATCTTGTTGAGAAAATGGCCAATGAGACGCAAGGCATCAAAATAAATGATTATCCCTGTTATCGCTATTATCCCTGTTATCCGTCTGGTGTCACCTGCAAGGCGTATAATCTTAGCTAATGTTTCACCTTCTATACCGCATGTTCTTATAATAATTTATATACCATTTACAGTTCAAGAAATGTAGACGTATTTCATAGGTAACAGTTTTAAACTATTTATTGATAGCTGTACATCCATACTTTCATTAGGAAGCGTTTGTTTAAAGAATCTCTAAACTTTCATAACAATCAAATTCATTTTTACTATTTACTTGCTGAACTACGCAAATATATGACTATTTTCAAGCAAATATATGACTATTTTCAAGCATATATGAGTTTTTTGAAATGAGCCAACCCATGTGCTCTTTAAACCAAATTTTTAAGGATCTTTATTATTATTCACATTTTACTTGAACCCCACATTTCATACTCCTTTTTGTAACATATACTTTTCTGTTAAATAACTGTCAGCAGTTTAGGTTAATTGGAACATCATTATTATTTTTTACTAAAGGCCAATCGAAACATGGTTTTTAGCGGAAACCGAAACCGTAACCGAACATTCGGCACCTCTCCTGGTTTCGACGGAAACCGTAACCGAAACCGAAGCTTCCGTAACTGAATGAAAGTTTAGTAAAGTATATGTACCGCCGAAGCGATTCATTACACCATGAAATCTAGTGTTTTTGCTAGCTTGGCAATATCTTGTTAATAATTTCATAACCAACAACGCTCGTTACACTGAATAGATGGCTAATGACAGTAGTGATTGGCGTGGTGGCAAACAAAATTCCTATTCATAGGCTTTATTAAAGCAAAAAATAAATTTATTATAGTGACATATCCATTGAGTTACTTTTATCCGTGTTTCATTTTGCCAAGTATTAGTTAAACATATGCTAGGCTCTTTAAGACTTACGTAATCTATTGTGTTGAATAAAATTAAAGGCGTGGTCAAGCGATGTGCAGCAATAACATACTGATTGAATAACCCGCTTCTGAAGGGTTGATTATCTGTGAAAAGGATAATGATTTTCTTGATCTCGCCATCGTTTTGCATTTCCTATTGATGTACACAGGGATAAGGAGTACTGATCTAAATTCTAATATGGACCCAATCTCGTGAAACTTCTATAGAATAAAATTAACATGTCCTTTAGAGTCACTAATTAATTCACGTCCCAATAAATGCGATTTGTTTCCAATTCGCAAAGCCTATAGGTACTTCGGTTCATCGCAGAAAATAATTTTATTTCAGAGATGACATTCAGCGTCAGTAATGCCATTACATGCATTTTATTTAAAAAGGCTTGAATTTCATTCGTTCCGCCTTCAAATTGAATTTGCTTTCTGTTAATAGATTAAAGTAACGAGCGAAATCATTAAACAATTAAAATGCTCTTGTCAACCCACTAGCATTTTAGAAACCACGTCATTTAAAAGTTTAAACGAAAAATATAGGTGTGCACGTATTCTTAAGGCAAAACGTTTTACTGTAATCTGCACCTATGCGTACCTAAACTTCATTTTACGCTAACGTTTTCCCTTTCTATAGAGCTTCTGAATAAAGTTACGGTTTTGAAAGGAATACTTTTCGTGAAAGCGCCAGTCTCGGACGGATTTTTTGAATTCGTTTGGTACTACGTATACCGATTGACGACAATTTTTAGTTACCGCATATATTTAAAATGTAATAAACGTCTCTAAAGTATAATATACTATAACAATGGAGTTTAACAGATTAAGAGCACCTTTCCTACTGAAAAGATTTTAACTGCACAAAGCATGGCATGAAAGCGGAATTCCGTCAACCTTGTTGGAGGCATTAAAAATATTCTGCGTTGATCTACTAGGATGTGGTTACCTTACCGTACTCAGAAAATACACGTAGGTTTGAAACGAAGGTTATAGTGAGTTTCAATTTCATCGTAGGGGATAAACGCACGGTATGCCAAAATCTAGTTATTATATTTTGCAATTTAGATTACGTCGGATTAAGATTAGTGGTCCAAGTCTTTCATTAGCACTTCTAATT